CACTCAGGCCTGGGTCCGGTGGCTCGTTCCATTAACCCGGCCCGTTCTTATCATCCTAACAGGAATATCTATCGGGCCGTATGTAATTAGAACGGCCATCCGGACCCTAGAAACCAGTTACCAGAAGGGCCACCGCCAAGATTCTAGCCCTTCAGCAGGTCCAGTATCGTAGACTCCGGGAAACTGAAGACCCGGAGGAGAGGGACGTGGATCATGATGCAATAATTGCTGCAGCAACAATAGCATCAGAGGGGGAAATGAGGCAGGAACCACTGCCATTTTAGGGAGATTCCCCATTTCAGGTATCAGATTCTCTGCCTGAATGTACATGTAACCTTATCTGACCTCTGTAACCCCGCCCACTATTTTCGTGCCAAAAGCAGGCCTGACCTCCGACCCTATAAAGCTGACCCAAGCCCTTTGTTCGGGGCCCAGAATTTGGAGACTGCCCCCTCTGGGACCGCATGCGGTAAATGAAGGTCTCCTTTCGCCTCCTCCGGGGTACGGCCTGAGTCTTTTCCACTACATGGTCATCCTGGCTGCAGCCTTCGGCAAAGTCATCAGGTGTCCTCAGAGAGGATGCACCCAGAGGTCCCTTGGAGTTGTCCATGGACCTGGACCTCTCTCGGGCTTTGTTGTACCTCTCATTCCTGGACCATCGGTCCTGGGTATGGCGGTGGCTTCGGTGCACTTTTGAGTGGAAGCTGCCCCTGGAAGGTTCAGGAAAAGGCATCTCAGTTCTCTTGGCCAGTTCCCAGGAAATGTCCCACTCCGGCATCATGGGGAAGTGAGGCTCAAGCACGTTGGGGTCGCTGTGCTTGATGAAGTTCTCGCCTTTGTGTTCGATGATGAAGCAGCCCTCCCGGGGAGCCCTGGTAAGGGGATCGCAAAAGTCATACTCCCTGTCCCCCGGGATGTAGCTTCATATATAGGTATTGCCATGCTTCTTAAATTTTATGCTCCAGCACTCCTAGAGTGTTTCTACAACTTCTGTGCTTTGCATGGTATTTTCTTTGCTTGGGATGTCCATAGCTCTTCTTCTCCCTACCCCTCCTCTGCTTGAACACCTGACAAACTAGTCCTTTAAATCTCAGCTCAGGTGTTGCCTCCTCTAGGAAGCCAAGATGAGGTTCCCGTTTCCCTATCAGATTCTACCTGTTACCTTGTGCTTTTTCACCATTTGCTTGCATATTTGTTTCTAGAATAGACCACGAGCATCTTGAGATGAGAAACCATGTCTTATTTATGTTTGAATCCCTAGTGCTAATGTGACTTAACAGTAGATGCTCAAGAAATTCTTGAATAAAATGAATGAAGGAATTGAGGGCTGTGTTTTCACAGCTGTGTTCTCGCTTGATCCTAGACCATCAGCTTCATGGGGGCTGATATGCATCAGTTTTGTTCACCCTGATCCCCATGGCTGAGCAGTGCCTGGAAAGCTCTCGATTGACCTTGTCCCACAAGCAGCCACTCCTTATTGGTCTATCATAAGGTCTGACTTTAAAAAATGAGCTGGGACAATTATACTACAGATTGAGAATTTGAATGATGAAACAGAGAAAAGAAGTTAGTAGTTAGGATCCCAAACAGAGTTTTTGTGGGAGGTAGGCTGGAGTTAGAAGAGGCACAGAGAGGGAGTCGGACACAGCAGGAGAGAAACCACCACTGACCACCAGCCAAACCCCTGGTTCCCGGCTTCACATCCTCGTGTCCACGTGTGTGTCTTTAGTCAACAGCCTGTCCCACAGTCACTGTGAGCTGATTCTAGTGAGTGCCTGCTCCTTGCAACTAAGGTTTTTAAAGACCATTCCCAGGTGACCCAAGGATTGAAACCCAGGCCTTCTCTCCCCTTGTCCAGTGCTCTTTCCACTATTTCAGGGCTAGAGACAGTATCTTTGCGCAGATTTTGGCAGAGGGCCATGCAAAAATGGTCCATATTAAATGTATTTTAATGACAATGAGCATGGCTGTAATTGTGATGTGAGTGGGAGGAAACAGCCATGAGGCAAACCAAATCCCCTCTCAATTTAAGCTAGACCAGTAGAAAGATCCCAAGAAACAGAAAATAGGCCCTTAATGGAATGCTTATTTTTATAAGGCATCTGCCTTCTCTGCTCTCTTTTGACCCAAATCTTAGGGAGTTCTGGCCACCCACTTCCACCATCTCCACCTGCTGCCCCCGCCTGCCAGGTGGGTGGGGCTTGGAAAGGGGACAATTGGTAAGTAACCTGGGCACATGGGCTTCTGCCCTTCAAGTCTCAAGGCTGCAGAGTGCAAAGAATGCCAAGATCATGGTTGCTATCCACATGTGGCCTTTTGGTTCACAAGCTAGTGATATATTTCAGGTACAAATCATTCTTTCCCACCAGCTCTTTCTGCAGGTCTCCAATGAGACAATTACATGGTTCCACTTAAAAGTGACTCAAGGACGGATGTGAGGGTTGACTCGTGTTGAAGCCTGGCTGTTTTCCTGCCCTTGTCCCTGGCTTTAGAATTTGTGTTGAAGTTAGTACCTGCCTGTGGGGGCAGCAGGCTCTCCAATGCGCCTGGTGTGTGCTCAGCCCTGCTTTTCAAGCACTGAATGGGCAGGTTCATGATGCCAGTAGGGACAATGGCAGCTCAGAGGGGTTTGCTCACCCCCTCACTTCTCTGAAAAGATGCCTCTACTTGATGATTACCTATCTGGGGGTCATCTTTTGAAACTGACTGAAAAGAGTTTATCTTATAATCAACATTTCCCAGAAATTGCTCAAGAGCCACAGGCTATGAAAAGAAACAGATTTTAACAAACTACATTCAATGTACATTGTCATAAGTTTGCAGAGCTGCAGGCCAGCCCTTGGAATATTTTCAGATTTGATTTTCCAAAGGAATGCTTTTAGAAGCTGCAAATACCTAGAGGCACTGATAAAAAGCAAGAGTGAGATGTCCTATCAGAACTGGATATTCAGGGGCACAGAGGAAACAATTTTAAAAGTTAGAGTTCACTTTTCGATTTTAATCTAAGCTTGAACAATTACTGAACTATGGAAGAGGGGACAACTGAGACCCAATCATAAATCAAAAACCTCCAATGTGGTTGACATTCTATTTAGACCAAACCACAAACTCTTTAAGAAAAACATCCTGATAAACCCACAATTGTGACATTAGTGCTTATGAGAGTGTTGCCTTTTTTTCAAAAAGCTTTCTGACATGAAAAGGAAATAACTCCAGGGAGGCCTATAGCTCAATCACATTTTCGACTACTTTGATTAGTTTTCTGTTAATTTGGCCAGGCTATAGTACTTGGTGATTTAAACAAACATGGATCTCAGTGTTTTTATGAAGGTGTTTTGTAGGTATAGTTAACACCTACAATTGGTTGACCTTAAGGAAAGGAGATCACACTCAACTACCTGGGTGGGCCTAATCTAATCAGTTTAAGGCTTTAAGAGGGAAAACTGGTTTTCTGGAGAAGAAATTCTGTCTCAATATTGCAACATCAACTCCTAGCTGAAATTCCAGCATGCTGGTTCTGCCCTACAGATTTCAAACTTGCCATTCCTCATAAGTCCATGAGTCAATTCCTTAAAATAAAGCTCTTTCTATATACACATACACAAATAGGATGTGCCTGTGTCCTATTTCTATGGAAAACCCTGACCAATATAATCACACTTATATACCCAAGTAATAGCTAAAGTTCTTAAAATGGAAACTCAGAACCGTTCCATCCAAATAAGCCTGCTTTCTGACCCTCTAGTTTGTACTGAGTTGACAATATTCTTAATTTCAACCCAAATGCCACTCAATGCTATAGAGGTGGTAAGTGATAAAGATGTCTGGGTGTCAGGCTGCGTGGGGGTGTTCCTAGGAGAAGTCTGGGTAGTGAGAGGACCAGCAAGGAACACTCACCAACGGGGGGTCCACAGGTTCAGCCCCACTTCCCATGTACAACTTGAAACAAACATCTTCCTGGAGTGAGTTCTGAGGACAGAATGTGGAGAAGTTTATGTACTAATGGCATTTGAGGGAAGGACAGGCTTCCTGGTCTAGATGGAAAAGCCAAACAAGAATATGTTTCACAACTGAAAAACACTTGAGATGCTACACATCTTGAGGGGAGACAAGGAAATAAGGTAGTTTCTGCCTGACAGCGGGCAGTCTGGCCGTGTGGATGGGGCAATCACTGGTTGTATTCTCATATCCACCCTCTTCCTTGTCCAGACGTCCGATTTTGTTGGGGAATATACCAGCCCCAGATGATAGGTCAAGATCAGTTTTAAGCCAGTGATCCTAAATTCTGATGTGCATTAATTAGAATTAGACTCCGATACTAGGAGGATTTGGGACAAGCTTTGCTTTCCTGATGAAGGGATTGTCATTAGTTCCTAACAGATAGCAACATGTAGACCTAATCTTTACCATTTTACTTTCTCCAATCTCACACGTGTTCTTATAATTAGCTTGTTTTTGTTTTGCTTCATGTCGATATTCTAGATACAGGAAATAAAATTTCAGTCAGTTTTCTCCCTTCCAAGCACCCTACCTGTAACAAGAACCTTGAGGAGGCCTCAAGACCATCTGGGTGCTTGTTTCAAAGGCCTTACATGGGGACTGGGGAAGACCTGGGAGCCTGTTAGGACATGGATGTTACAGAATTTCAGTCTCATGAAAACATAAAATGTGCTAACCTGAGTATTTAGAATATGTGGTCATGGTTTATTATTTTTTGCCTTGAATTACCATCACCTTATAGTGCTGTTTCATAAATCAATCTGGGAAAAGTGAGACTTTGACTCCCCATCTTGAAAGATGAACAAACCAGGCACCACGACAGAAAGGCTAATATTCCCAACAACTGGCTTTTGGAATTTTGTGACCCTTGGCTAATTTTGTTTTCCTTTATACATTTTTAAGCTGACTGTGGAGATAAATTGCCATAAGAGTCTTTGACATTTTATGTGAAGTGTTCAAAGACCAACAGGAGGCCAGCACTTATGAACTAGTACAACTTATTAAGCAATAATTGTATTTATTAAAGAAATACATGAAAATGGTTACATAAAATCAAATGGTTCCAAAAGTCTAAGTGAAAACTAGAGCGTCTCCTGATCTATCTCTCCCTAGCTTCAATTGTCTTTGATTATTCGGCTGAGTATAGATTTACCAGCCGGAAATATCTTCTCAGAATTTAAGGCATGAGTCTAGTTTTGTTTTCCTTTTACTCCTCTCCTTCCTTTCCTTCCAAGCATCTCAAATTTGGTGGGTCCAAAACCAAAATTAAACTCCATCAGAAAATCCCATTACCTCCAACTTCGAAATATATCCTGAATCACAATTTTTTCACTGTACTCAAGCCTCTGGTCCAAGTTACCATCATCTGTCACCTGGACTTCTAATTGGTCTTTCTGCTTCTGTATTTCTTTAAATTGTAAAATATTTAACAAACTATATGTTGCTTTATACTTTTTACTACATAAGTATGAAGATCTCACACATAATTACAAGTATATGGAATTGGTTTAGGTGTTTAGCTTTCACTGGTCCTGTGCCTGTCAGCAACTTCTTAATGCAAACACCGGGGCCCTATCTAGCAGCTGAAGTGTGTTCAGCCCACACAGAGGGCAGGGAATTGATGGCCCTGGGAACAGCCCTCAAACAATGAGCAGGGGATAAATACTCCCGCTTCCTTCCCTCCGTTTCCCAGATATCTCACCAGTATTGAGCGTGGTACCCAGGGAGAGCCTGCTCACTGATCTTGAACTGGCTTACCTTCCTAGTTGCACTTTTCCACATACCACCTGGTGCTTTCACTTAAATTCTAGTCTTGGGATCTGCTTTGGGGGGAAATCCAATCTAAGACAGTAATGTATGCATTTTCCTGTCATTGGCCTTTTGGGTTGTTTTTAGTTTTTTACTATTACAAACAAGGATGTGACATATTTCTACAAGTCTCTTGATATGTATGCAGGTTTGCTCTTGGCATTTACCCGTGTGTGGAATTGCTGGGTCAAAGGGTATATTCATCTCCATCCTTCATAAATCTGGTCAACATTTTAAAAGGCTGAGTGTCAAGTACTGGTGAGAAGGCCACGTCTGGTACATGTGGAATGGTTCCTGTCTGCAGTTTTAATTTGCATTTCCCCAGTCACTAGTGGGGATATATGTCTGTGCACATATTCACGGCCTTGTCTCTCCTCTTCTCTAAGCGGCTTCTTTTTCTTATTAATATGTGAGTTCTAAAAACTCTGGACACTAACAATTTCCTGCTTGTGCTCCTTGCTCCATTGTTTTCTTGTGGTTTGTAAATCTTATGCAGTGTTATTTCTGTTTTTCTGTGTGATCTGCTTTTGTTTTTTTCTCTATGAAAGATTTTTAGGAAATTTCTCTTTACTCCTGATGTTCTGTATCCTAATTGTACTGCTAAATGTAAAGGGCTCAATTTATTACCTTAATTAATTTTTCATGAAAATAAGCACATGATAGTTCAAAAAAGTCAAAGTACAATAGACATACCTAATGCACAAAATAACACACTCAACTGTGATACTGTCAGCAGTTTACAGCGTAATTTTCCCCACATTGAAAATTTTGGATACTAGTCTAAATTTTTTAAATGGTGCAACAAATGCTCTTGCGTCCGTCTCTTTGTTCAGGATTAATTTCTGGAAGTGGAAGTTCTGGATCCAAACCCAGGTTATTTTGAATTTTGATTGCTATTGCTAACTCTTACCCTAAAAAGTTTGTACCAATGTACAGGCAGAAAATGCTATTTCTTTGGATACCTAAAAATCCAAATATTTGCTAACATGATGGGTAAAACATGTTTTAATTTTTAATTATGTGAAGTTTATTTTCTAACCTACTAGTTTTGATTTCTCACAATACCCATTCTCTTCGAGTTTTTCATTCTGGCCGCCTGCTTGTTGTGAGGTTACTTTTTTGTGTGAAGAGCAACCTATTCTTGTTCTATCACTAGAACATCCCAACGAGTTTTTAAAGGTCTCTGACCTTCTCTTTTAATCATAATGAAAGGAATCTCCTACCTGCCTCTTACTATGTCTGTGGAATGTGCTGCAGGAACCGAGTAAACAGAACTTTTTCAGAAGTGTGATGTGCAGAGAGAAATTCTGGTCCCTATTTCGATCTGCTTCTCTTTTAATACCTAAGTTCTAACTCATCTGGTTTATAACCCATTTCTGACATTTGGACAAATTTAGCTAGCTCCTTTCTTTATAGGCCTGGGTTTCAACTCATGCTATCAGGGGACTCTCTCATCGTGGTTTCTTGGTATATGTTACCCTAGGCTGGTGCTTGGGACGTAATCCTGGGCCCTTGATGGACATTCAGACAGTTATAGCAACAGATGTTTCACAAAGGGTATATGATGTAGCACCGTTAAGATTAATTTAACCAAATCTAGTTAAGATTAAAACTAATTAATAAAAATACATTGCTAGAAATAATTATCCAGATCTAGTCAACAGAAGTCTCTTTTTCTAATGTTAAATACATAATCGTTTGGAGGGGAGAGGGAACAGCTTGAAATGAACCAGAAAACACCTTCACATTACTTGTATTTTTCATAGACTTCAAATTTGTACTTAATGCCTTTCTCCTCCTGGACATCAGAAAGAACGCCTGGGTATCTGTAAAAGAAATATACATATAATTTTAAAATGTATCAATTAAAAAGACTTTTTTAAAAGAATAGTTTATTGATTTTTAGAGAGAGAAGGGAGAGGGAGAGGGAGAAACATCGATGTGAGAACGCAGCATCGATCAGCTGCCTCCTGCAAACCCTCTACTGGGGATCGAGTCAGAAATCTGGGCATGTGGCCCGACCAGGAATCGAACCAGGACCTCTTGGTTTCTGGGTCGACACTCAACCACTGAGCCACACTGGCTGGGTGGCAATGGTTTCTTAGGTCTAAGACCAAAAGGACAAGTGACCAAAGGAAAAACTGAACATCAAAAGTAAAACCTTTGTGCTACAAATGATACCATTTAGAAAGTGAAAAAAGAAATAAATGTAAATTTTTTTTAAAAGTGAAAAGATAATTCAAATAATGGGAGAAAATTTGTGAAGCAAGTACTGATACATACAGGGAGGGGCAACAGTAGGTTTACAGTTGTCCATATGGAAATAATACGATAATTAATAAATAGTAATACAAGGATAAACTGTTTTGTGATTCACAACTATAAATCTGCTTTTGCCCACCCCTGTAGTACAACATGGATGAACTTCAAAAAGGTACGCTAAAAGAAAGCAGCCAATTCCAGAGGCATCTCTACAGAGACGGAAAACAGGCAGCTGGTTCCCAGGGCTCGGGGGGCGGGGTGGAGAGTGGCTGCCGAGGGTGCACATTTTGTTTGTTTGGTTTTGAATCCTCACCTGAGGGTATCTTTCCGCTTTGAGAGAGAGGAAGGGAGAGGGGGGGAGAGACAGAGAGAGAAACACTGATAGGAGAGGCACACTGACGGGCTGCCTCCTGCACACGCCCCAACCAGGGCCAGGGATGAGGCCTGACACCAAGGTGTGTGCCCTCGGCAGGAATCAAACCCGGGGCCTTTCAGTCTGCAGACCAGTGCTCTAGCCAGTGAGCCAAACCAGCCAGGGCTGAGTACATGTTTTTTGGAAGGTGATGAAAATGTTCTAAACTTAGATTGTGGTGATCATTGCACAACTCTGCGAATATACTAAAACCATTGCATTATATACTTCCAGTGGGTGAATGTTGTGATTTATGAATCATTTCTCACTAAAGATCTTAAATTCTTCATTTCTAAGAGTCAGAGAGCCAGAATGGTGTTTAAGCTATCAAGGATCCTGAAGGGTCAGAGCTCTGGAGAGGCCTGACTGAGAACCGATGTGGAAAGGTATTCATGTGAAGCCAACTCACAGAATAACCTACTCTTTGCCAGGAGCAAAGAGAAAGAGAAGAAATGACGGACAACAGAGATCAGTTTTCACATCATGTGACAATTGGCAACCTGAGCAGTGTAAGAAAATACACAAATGAGGTGCAGCAAAGAAAAACACACGTATTTTTATGTAAACATATATGAAATCAGTAAGTGAGACTCTTCTATGTGGTCACCTTTGCAAACTATAAGCAAAAGCCTGAACTTCAGCTGTTCAGAGCTAGTTAAGAGGCCAAGAAAATCAGTCATACATTTCATTTGATTCAAGACTACTACCTATTACTCTATAAACTATCAATCTAAAGCTTAGCCACCTATTTATTCAGACTTGGCTTCTGAATGTTCTTTTGGGAGGTCTTGACAAAACAAACACTCAAAGAACAATTGACTCAATTCAACCGAGAATATTTGAAAGAATCTGTTAAAAGCTAGTAAAAAGTGTTGATATAATTAATCTTAAAGCTGAAAAGTGTTTTTAAACTAAAATGCTGTAAGTTTTCAAAATCAGGCAGTTTCATGCTAAAATCACAACACCGTAAAGCAAGTGTAATCTCTCCTTTCCATCTCCACCACTGCTAAGTCCCTTCGTCTTTCACCTGAACTACAGCAACTAACTGGTTTCCCAGCTTCACTCCTGTCCCCTCCGGTCCATTCTCCACAAACAGCTAGAGCATCGCTCAATTCAAAGCCCCCTAAACCTGCATTTGGCCTCACCCCTTTGGGTCTTCCCATTGCTCACAATGCCCTCAGCGGCTTTCAAGGCTCAGGAAACATGCCCAGCTTGTTCCCATCACCGGGTCTCTGCACTGGCCATTTCTGGTTCCTGGAATGCTCTTCGCTGTTCTTTGCATGGCTGGCTTGTCATTTAGATTCTAATAACGGTACTGTTGTAATTAATCTAGCTATTAATCACAGGAAAGGAACAAAGGAAAGGAGAAATATTATAGGCATGTCATTTGGGCAGCTTCACTAGGAAGCTAAAGCTTTATACTCCCCAGGGAGCCACTGGTCTATTCCCTAAAAATCGCTGAGGGAAGGGACAGGGAGAACAGACGCATGCCCAGTAAAGTTGGGGTGCCCTCGGGAAGGTACTTGCCTGTCAGTTACTCAAGGGCTTGAAATTTTTGGATATTAAATTCCCTAAACAAAGGAGTCCACTCTCTTGGTTGACTCCTGGCTTACCAGGCCTTTGCTCCTGCTCCCCTGCACTCGCCCACGTGGCCCATGACCATGTGGGCCCCACACACAGTGGACTAACGCACTGCAAGTAGCCTGATGCTGAACTGCACCCGGCTGCAACATGGAGTGGAACTCTGGACACTGGCTTTGCTTCAGAAGTGTAACTGAAACCCCAGCTACACTTCTTCTATGACTGGAAACCCAGGTATGTAATTCCACCCAAATAAAAATCACTGATCCTCCTGTGTGAGTCGCGGGAAATTCTTTTTCTTGAGATATTGTAAGGACCCCGCCCCCAGTGCCCAGTGGGGAAGAGCATACCCCAATTTCCCCGANAAACCCAGGTATGTAATTCCACCCAAATAAAAATCACTGATCCTCCTGTGTGAGTCGCGGGAAATTCTTTTTCTTGAGATATTGTAAGGACCCCGCCCCCAGTGCCCAGTGGGGAAGAGCATACCCCAAGTTCCCCGATAACAGTGCAAACATCACTCTTCAGAGACGACTTCTCAGACCAACAGTACCACATCACGGTACTTCAGGTCTCCACAAGGCAACTGCTAATGTTTATCTCCTGTCTGCAGCCCTCCCTCTCTGTGGCAAACACGTGATCTGGTGAACACTGACTGCACCTGTTTTGGGAACTTGAACATTCCCAAGTCTGTTAAAGCAGAATTCCAATAATTTCTATAGTACGTGTCTATAAAACACATTACTACCCCAAATTTAATCTGAGAGACATACTCTTTCCTATAATTCTTAAGCTAGAAATCCAGAAGTGCTTCGGAATAATTAGTAACATTTTACTTACTCTGAGAGAAGCTTATATTTCTCTAAATCAATTTCTGGAAAAAATGTGTCACTTTCAAATTCCTGCATGATCCTTGTCACAAACAGTCTAAGATGGCCTGGCTTGTTCATGGCTTCCTTTGAAATAAAACAAAAGTTTAAATTATATAGCAAGTTTGTACTAGATACGAAAGAATCCTATTTAAATATCCCATTCTTTACTTTGGAGCCCTGAAAAGTACGCCTTATTTATGTTGAGAATGGACTAATCATTATATATAATTATGAGAGTTAAAATATATTCTCACCTCTAGTTTCCCTACATGAACTCTTTTTTTCATTTAAGTGTTCAGTTTTGTCTTTTTTCTTGGTGGTTGCTTAAGAATTAAGAACCTCAAACTATCTAATTATGGGCTATAGAAAAATTTACATATACATAAGTGGATAAGATAGTATAAATTATAATGAAAACCTCAAGGGTATACTTGGTACATTTACACAAAGTTTAATAATGCTTTCATTTCCCAGGAGATAGTTATAACGCTAGTAATTTATTCTGCTCTTATTGCTAGTGATTATATTTGGTCTCATACTATTAATGACTTTTCTAACTATCACCTATAGTACTGTTGATTAAAAATCATGAGTCCCGCCCAGCGGTTGAGTGTCAACCTAGGATCCAGGCGATCGGGGTTTGATTCCTGGTCAGGGCACATGCCCGGGTTGCGGGCTTGATCCCCAGTAGGGGCGTGCAGGAGGCAGCTGATCAATAACTCTCTCATCATGGATGTTTCTGTCTCTCTCTCTCTTTTCCTCTCTCTGAAATCAATAAAGATATTTAAAAATATATGTATATATATTAAAAATCATGAGTCCCAGCTGCAGCTCCAAGAAAGCAATAATATGCCTGGATTGAAATAACTCTGGATTGAAAAAGAAAAAACAATATATACTTACATATATATATATAATTTCAAGTGTTTGTTATCTTTAAAATTCCAAATAAAGGGCACAGAACAAATTTTACTTTTTATTTTCAATATTACAGTTTATAGTATTACATTGTTTATTCTCTTGCCCCAAACAAATAAATATTCTACCAATTCTTGCTGTATCAAAATTTAGGAAAATTGAATAGGACCAACCCCACAGCATGTGAAAGTCTGTAGCAAAGGCAATGCTTTTTGGCAAACCTTTTCTGTAAAGGGTCAGAGAGTAAATCTTTTAGGCTTTAGGGCCACAGGGTTTCTCTTACCATTTAGGCAAAAGCAGCCACAGACAATACTAAGCCGACGGCCATATTCCAGTGAATACATGTTCCAGTGAAACTTTATTTACAAAAGCAACTGAGTAGGCCCACGTTGGCCCACGAGAAGAGAAGCCTGAATGTTCTACAAATGTTGAGATATGAGGTAGGTGATAATGCAGAATTATAACTTAGAGATTACACTTCCTTACCTACTATATGTAGATCTATCAAATTATATAGATGAATTTAATTTGAAGTATTTATATTGTTTAAAAGGTTATAGAAAAAGAAACATAACAGTTTTTGTAATCCCAGCTCAGATCCTGGTACGCCTCTTCTCAGGTAACTCCAGTACACATGCTCCCACAAGCCCCCAAAGGTAGGGGCTGCTTTTTCCCTTCCCATAAATATTAATCTTTCATGAGTACTTTAAAAGAGTACGAAAATTCCTTTTGTTTTCCTCAAAATTTTTGAAAGCTGGAAGTCATTTGGTGTCAAGAACAAGGAATATTTTCTTTTACCTACTGTTTTCCCTTATGAAATAAAATAATTTAATACTTTTCCGTGGCCCTCACACTGTATGAAAATTGTTGAGGTAGAGTTTTCTGTTTTTAACAAATTCATATACATCTGGTCAGTGTACATCAGCTGGGAGCCCATCACTGTCTTAGGAAGAGACATAGTTTTCCTTGGAGAAAAGGGGTAACTCAGCGTCTCAGGGTATCCAGGGAGTAGAAAACAGTGCAGCCCCAGTATGTTTCAAAGGGAAGGATTTAGAATGTTTTAAAACTGGAAACATCAACTATTTTGAATTGGAAATAAACTGATAAAGACTTAAAAACTTACTTTTACATTTTTATTTAGTTTGCATGATAGCATCAAAAACGAAGAATTCATATTGACAATATGTCTAACTGACAGCAGGGAAATGTGCTTCCTTCGCTTGTGACCTGATAGTACAGACACAGGGGAGTCGAAAGGAAGCAGAGGGAACACTCTGTTCACGGGTAACTTTACTTACCTTGTAAACAGAGCTGCCTCCTATTATCCAAACCATGTCCACTTTATTTGTTAATTCTGGTTCCTCAAGAAGTTTTAAGGCATCATCCAGACTTTTGGCAAGAAAATGTGCTCCTTTTGGAGGTTCCCTGAGGTTAAGGGAAAGAATTACAATTTCTACAAAAGCCATCGACACTAGGCAGATAATCTGTACAGGAAGCAATAATTAAAAAACTAAAATCATCATAAATGTGAATCCTTTCAACAAAAAACAGTTAACAGCAGTATTGCCTATGACCAATAATTTAACCCACATTTGTGTATGTATGGTCCACAAGGAATAAAAACACAAAAAATACTTCTCTTATCTCAAGATATTTATTGCAGAAAAACCTCAGAAGAATAGTTGTCTCTGGAGGGATGAAGTAAAGATTACTGGGAAGGGGAATGAGGAAACTTTCTGGGGGTTATGGTAGCGTTCTGTATCTTTGATATGGGTTCTACAGGTGCATATATTTGTTGTAACTTAGGGAATGTACACTTAAGACTTGTATGCTTCACAGTACATAATTATCTCAAAAGGAAAAAGTGTAAAGAAATACTGAACTGTAGTTAATGACGTATATGGTAAAATATTTAGGGGAAAACATACTAATGTCTGCAATTTACTTCGAAATGCATAAAAAGAACAAGACTAACGGATTGATGGATGGGTGATAAAACAAGCAGAGCAAAATGTTCAAATGGCAAGATCTATGTGGTGGGTACACAAGTGTTTGCCGCAAAGTTTTTTACATTTCAAAGTTTCATGACAAAATGTTGGAAAAAGTAAAATGCTTGAATGAATAGTTTCCAGTGATATTCAAACTGTTACTATGTGGCACGCGGGGAAAGGAGGTTCACATTCCGAATAATACAGAGAAGGGTGAGCACTAAACACGGAGCATGTCAGGGTTTCTGTCATTAACAAGTAAAGTGCCACGGAAAGTCCCAGATGGGGGCGGACCGAGGGGAAGCCACACGGACTCTCTCCTGGACCAAGCTGGAATGACAACTGAACTATAGAAAAACCACTCTGAATATCGAATTGCAACTGAGGACGAGCTGGACAGCACCCCACAGCCAAGGAGGAAAAGGGGAGACCCCACAGAGACGGGTAGGGAGTGCAGAGGCACCAGAGGGCTGGCTGGGCTCCCAGAGGCAGCAGCTGAAGGTCCACAGGGAGATCTCAGCTGTGGGGGGTTCCCACTGAGGACTCTGGGGCCTAAATACCAGGCTGGGCTCCCAAGCCCAGAGCATCAGACCTGAGACAGGTGCCCCCATAACATCTAGCTGTGAAAAGCATCCAGGTTTCTATCTGCCAGGGAGAGAACGCCTGGAAATGCAGGCACCCTCTTAAAGAGCCAACACACAAAGTTTCATGTGCAGTCACTCACCTTGGGCTACAACAGAGGGAGGGCAGAGTGGAACTGCAGCTGTGTGGGGAGAACCTAGGGCTGTGGGCCCTGGAGATAGAGATCAGAGGGCATCCCTCAGGACTCCTGTGCCTAGTCATTCCCACATACTGCAGAGGACATCTTTCTCAGACAGACACTTACCTTCAAAGCAGCTTTTGCATGGGGGGAAAGCAATTGCCCCAACCAGCTGGAAAACCTCTGGCCCCACCCCGTGGAGATTCTACAGCCTGAAGCTCATTAAGAGGCTGAATAACAGCCTCTGGGTGCTTTGAGTCTTTGCCTGATTTGCTTCCGGACCCAGGGCTTGGAAAAGCAGATGTTGGTGTGCGTCTTGATCCTGTCCAAACACACCCCCAGACCCAGCAGAGAGAACCACAAGCTGTGGCCAGTCACAAACAGCATCGGACATTGGCCTGCACCAGAGACCATCTAAAAGACTGGGAGTCCTAGCAGATCTACCTAATACATAGAAACAAATCCAAACAGGCAGCCAAAATGGGAAGATAAATAAAGCCCCAAATGAAAGGATTCTCCAGAAGAAGAGCTAAATGAAATGGACACAAGCAATCTATCAGATATAGAGTTCAGAATACTGATTGTAAGGCTCCTCAACAGCACGAGAAAAAATATGGAAACTATAAAGAAAATTAAGAATGACATAGTAGAAATAAAAAATATATTGGAAGGAATAAATAGCAGATTAAGGGAAACTGAGGATAAGATTAGCGAATTAGAAGACAGGGTAACACCCGACCAAGCATGACTCAGCAGTTGAGCACTGACCTAGGATCCAGGGGATTGCGGTTTGATTCCCAGTCAGGGCACATGCCCAGGTTGCAGGCCCAATCCCCAGCAGAGGGCATGCAGGAGGCAGCTGATCAATGACTCTCTCATTATTGATGTTTCTATCTCTCCCTCTCTTCCTTCCTGTCTCTGAAATCAATAAAGATATATTTAGGGGGGAAAAAAAAGGGTAGAAAAAAATCAGTCAATCAAGAACCAAAAAAAAAAATAAAATAAAAAAATAAAAAACAGGAGGACATGAAACGTAACAATATTCACATCATAGGAGTGCCAGAAGAGGTTGAAAGTAAGCAAGGGTTAGAGAACCTGTTTGAAGAAATAATGGCAGAAAACTTCCCTAACCTGGTCAAGGAAAAAGTGACACAAGTTCAGGAGGCATAGAGAGTCCCAAGCAAGAAGAATCCAAAGAAGCCCACACCCAGACACATCATAATTAAAATGCCAAAAATTCAAGACAAAGAGAGAATCTTAAAGGCAGCAAGAGAAAAGCAAGCTGTTACCTACAAAGGGGCTCCCATTAGGCTGTCAGCTGATTTCTCCTCAGAAACTCTACAGGCCAGAGGGAATGACATGAAGTATTCAAGGTAATGCAAAGCAAGGATCTGAAACCAAGACTACTCTATCTAGCAAGGCTATCATTCAAAATAAATGGTGAAATAAAGAGCTTCCCAGACAAAAAAATAAAACACGCTAAAGGAGTTTATCACTACCAAACCAGCATTGCAAGAAATGTTAAAGGGACTGCTGTAATTAGAAGTTGAACTAGAGAGGAGAAACATAGGCATAAACAAATAAAATGGCAATAGATAAGTACCTATCAATAATAACTTTATATATAAATGGATTAAATGCGCCAACCTAAAGACATAGAGTAGCTGAATGGATAAGAAAACATGACCTAAATATATGCTGTCTACAAGAAACCCACCTCAGAACAAAAGACTCCGACAGGCTGGGGGGGGAAAACACAATACAAAAAACTTCTAGAGGACTTTAAAGGAGAGATCAACAGCAATACAATCACAGTAGGGGAGTCTCTACAAGTTCAAGGTGAAAATCATATCAAGCATCTCCTCGGACATTTACACCATGGAATACTACGCAGCTGTAAAAATGAAGGCTCTCTTACCCTATGAGACAGCATGGAGGAACCTGGAGAGTATTATGCTAAGTGAAATAAGTCAGACAGAGAAAGACAAGTACCACATAATCTCACTCATATGTGTAATCTAATGAACTAAACCAATGAACAAAATAGATCCAGAGACATAGAAGTACAGAACAGACTGATGAATCTCAGAGGGAAAGCAGGGGGTGGCGGGTGGGGAAAGATTAACCTAAGATCTTAGATGCTTATGTGCATAACCCATGGAGACAGACAATAGTGGGGTGAAGGTCTGCGGGGAGGGGTACAGGGTGGAGTGGATCAATGGGGGAAAAATGAGGGACATCTGTAATTCTTTCAATAAAGAGAATCTGATGGTAAGACCACAAAAATATTACACCATGAAATAATAATTTTTGGATTGAACATCAGTTATAACATCTTATTTCATGGAGGCAATTTTAGATTTTTTAAAGATGCTGTCAAAGCTACAACATTGCAGTAAAGCTTCTTAATTTAATTTCTGGTCCCAAAGACCTTAAAAAAATGCTTTATTGAAAGAAATTACATACTATACAATTTACCTTTGCAAGGCGTACAATTCAGTTAACTTTTCAGTATGTTCATTGAGCTGTATAACCATCACCACCGTCTACTTTCAGAACATTTCCATCACCCTGAAAGGAAGCCCGGTGCTTATTATCAGGTATCCCCGCTTCCACCCCCTCTCTCCAGGGATTTGCCTATTCTGGACATTTGATAGAAAGGGCATCGTGTGGTCTGCTGTGTCTGGCCGTTTCAGCTGGCACACTGTTTTAAAAGTTCATCTGTGCTGTAGCATATCTTGGCACGTAATCCTTTTTGTGGAGGAATAAATATTCCACTGTATGGATATAGCACATTTTGTTTATTGTTCCTCAGTTGATGAACATTTGGGATGTTTCCAATTTCTAGATGTTATGAATGATGCTGCTGTGAACATCTGTGTACAAGTTTTTGTGTGGTCATATGTTTTCATTTATCTTCGGTATATACCAAGGAGAATTGCTGGTTCACATAACTGTTTACCCTTTTGAGAAAGTGCCAATCTGTTTTCCAAATGTAGCTGTAGAGCATTCCTTTTAAAGCCACACTTGATAGTCTAGAAAGCCATGGAAAAGCATTTTTCCCCTATAACTTATTAAGTAAATAGTTACCCTGAATAACTAGTACGGGCCAGCAAATCTGGGGATTATCTTGAGGATTCAGTTTCTTCTCACACAGGGGAGAGGGTGGTGGTGAAAGATTGTCTCTGAAAACTTACAGGAGCAATAGTGATTCACATGTGTAAATCTCTCCCCTTTTATCTGGACCCAGCAGTGCCTGCTACATAGCAGGTGCTCAGGACATGTATAGAACTGACCAGCAATTGACCAGGGAAGCAGAAGGCAGGATAAAAAATAAACTTTAAATTTTTTTCCTGATATCCCTATTTCCTTAGCATGCTTGATAATAAAGACTTTAAATTTTCTCTCTGCCTATAAATAAAAAGTGAAATACACCAATAAATGTTATATATAAACATATAATAAACAGCCAAACCCAATTACACATACCCCAGATGGGTCATAAAAAAGAAATCAGACTCATCATTTGAGGAGATTTGCTGTCTCAACTGAACATCTCTCCCACTGAGATTTCTTTATGTTTGTTTTAGCTCAAGCTAGCCATAAATAAACTTGAGTAGTATTCAAGAATATATTAAGGAGTCTCTAGAAATGACAATACAGTCTGTCAATTTGGATTTACCAAGTATAGAGATAATCAGAATATCCTAGCAACCAGGAGAAAGAGAACAGAATGAAGACTGAGGCAGGTGGCAAGATCCACATCAACATATTCCCCATCACTCAAAGACAAGCAATGTACATATTCTGGTACACTTTCTTCCAGGTTTTTACCTATGCCATTCTAGGAGGGATCTGGGAGAAAATCTATACAACCCCAAGCCCCCTTAGCCTACAGTTGTGCAATGTTTTTTCCTTCCTGTGGTGTGATGGTCTTTGGTGTGTTCACTTGGCTAGGAAATAGTCCTTAGTTAGTCAGACACTAATCCAGGTGTTGCTGTGAAGGTATTTTATAGATGTGATTCAAGTTGATAATTGGATGACTTTAATCAGGGTGGGCCAGATTCAATCCGTTGAAAGGCCTTAAAAACAGATCTAAGACGTCCCTGAAGAAATTTCAGCTGTAGACATCAGCTTCAGCCCTTGAAGAGTGGTAGCCTCCCCTTCCTGATGGCCTACCCTACAAATTCTGGACTTGCCAGCCCTCACAACTGTGTAATCCACTTCCTTGTAAGATATTTTTATGATTATATTAGTAGTTTAAGAAACAATCAGCGTGCCAATCCCAAACTTTTCCTTAAGGTCTAATTCAGGCCAACTACCCCCAAACAGACCCTTGAAGTTCAGAAAATTATTTTATTGGGTTAGGACCAATGTAAACGCCAAAAAATATGGAAATCAGAATGTCACTTCACGGGTAGTTTTAATGCTGTTAACTACCACCCCAGCTGCCCACACCTCTTTCAAGTTCATTTCCAGGCATCAGGAACTAACTATATTGGCCTCAAGGACAGGAAAATTCCTAGCAGAGGCCAACTGCACATACTCCCTTCTTCTAGGATCCCTAGGACCATTTCAATACTTCGAAATTTATTTGCAGACACAGGATAAAGAACAGAAGTACAAAATACTATTTGGGTTTTGAGGAAAACTAGAGTACAAGATTATGACAGTTTTTTGCCCATCTTAAAATTTATCTTGCTGCATTTAGGACTGAGTCTAGGGAAATGATAGCAACTTCATTTTGGCAAGTCCCAAAACATATGTATTTTGATTTTATGTACAACTGACAAGTTATTAATTTATATAACTGATATTTGACCCTACTAAATTGAATTGAATTCAGGGAAACATGCAATTCTGTTACCATAGTGAGATTTAATGTAACTTTTTAAGACTCATCATTTGAGGAGAATTGAAACCACTCACTTGAGCAGCAGAATAAGTTATAACTGCTTATTCATTTCCTATAATCACCTAGTGATATTAAGCAGCTTCATCAATAGCTACATTTATAGTATTTTACTTTGTCATATACTGACCCCAACATAAGAAGTGGCACATGGTTTTCATGTGGTGAAGGTGTACTTACTTGAGTTCTCTACTGAGAACTAAATTAATCCTGTCCTTTAAAGGTCGATTCTTCTCGGGAATGGAGAACCAGGTCTTCCTACCCATAATCACCAAATTCTGCTTACCTATAAAATCACATAGAAAGAATAGATATATTTTGGGAATATACATATATATTTTCATACATTTATATTTATGCATATATAATCACATTGACCTCTAGTGGATCTGCTTTAAAAAAATTAAAATTTTTAACAGGTTTACCAAAATTTACCATTTATCACTCATTATCTAAATATAGTAATTATTTTTCCCTTTGACTTTATCCAACTTATATTCAATATAGTTTTAGTCAGTCATGTATAACATAGTTGTGAAAAGCAAAGATTCAGAGTTCAAATGCTCCAGGGGAACGTATGCTGTTACCTACTACACAGGTCCTGCTAATCTTCTGGCCTTACTATCCATACCTATGAAATGGGGATAACATATAGCTCCTACTTTAGGATTGTGGGGACTGAAGCCTTAGACAATGTTTGACATCTAAAAAGTGCTGTTTAACTGTTTGATAATAACAGTACTCACATTTGTGTACTTTGTAGGTTTAAATTAAGAGCCATACTTAAAAAATAACTGCTTAATATTCCACTCAATTAGCTGAAAATACTTTCAAGTTGTGCCTCTTTCCTTAAAACTTTTATACACATAGCTTCCATTTCTGGTTTAATTATTTAGGAGAAAAAAGTTTGTGAGTCAGATATCTGGATCAAAGGAACGTACACATTTATAATCACTGAATTAGAGTGACTTTATAATCAAACTAACATGTGCAGAGACAATCCTAAAGACTCCACCAAAAAACTATTAGATTTAATAAATGAATTCAGCAAGGTAGCAGGATTAACACCCAGAAATCGATGCCATTTTTATACACCAATAATGAACTGTCAGAAGGGGAAACTAAAAAAACAATACTATTTACCATTGCAACAAAAAAATTAAGATACTTAAGAATAAATTTAACCAAGGAGGTAAAGGACCTGTACTCGGAAAACTACAGGATGCTGCAAAAAGAGAGGAAGATATAAACAAGTGGAAGAATATGCTGTGTTCATGGATCAGTAGAGTTAACATCATTAAAATGTCCATACTGCACAGAGCAATCTATAGATTAAATGCAATCTCAATTAAAATACCAACGGCATATTTCACAGATCTAGAACAAACTCTTTGAAAATTTATATGGAACCAAAAAAGACCTGGAGTAGCCACGGCAATCTTGAGAAAGAAGAACAAAGTTGGTGGGATCACAATACCAGATATACTACAAAGTCACTGTAATCAAAACAGCCTGGTAGTGGCACAAGAACAGACATGTAGATTAGTGGGACAGAACAGAGAACCCAGAAATCAACCCAAACCATTACGCTCAATTAATATTTGACAAAGGAGGCAAGAACATACAATGGAGTAAAGACAGTCTCTTCAATAAATGGCACTGGGAAAATTGGACAGGTACATGCAAAAAAATGAAACTAGATCACCAACTTACACTATACACAAAAATAAACTCAAAATGGATAAAAGACTTAAATGTAAGATGTGCAACCATAAAAATCCTAGAAGAAAACACAGGCAGCAAAATCTGAGAATCCCTCATAGCAACATGTTTGCCAATATATCTCCTAGGGCAAGAGAAACAAAGGAGAAAATAAACAAATGGTACGGCACCAAACTAAAAGGCTCCTGCACAGCAAAAGAAACCATCAATGAAACGAAAAGGGAGCCCACTGTATAGGAGAACATATTTGCCAATGACACACCTGATAAAGGGTTAATATCAAAAATATATAAGGAACTCACACAACTTAACAAAAGGAAGACAAACTATCCAATTAAAAAATGGGCAAAGGACCTAAATAGACATTTCTCCAAAGAGGACACACAGATGGCCAAGAGACATGAAAAAATGCTCAACGTCACTAATCATCAGAAAGATGCAGATTAAAACCACAGTGAGGCATCACTTCACACCTGTCAGAATGGCTCCATCAACAAGTCAACAAACAACACGTGCTGGCGAGGGTGTGGAGAAAGGGGACCCTAGTACACTGCTGGTGGGAATGCAGACTGGTGCAGCCACTGTGGAAAACAGTATGGAGTTTCCTCAAAAAGTTAAATATGGAATTACCATGTGACCCAGCGATCCCACTTCTAGGAATATATCCTAAGAAACCGGAAACAGCAATCAGAAAGAACTTATGCACTTTTATGTTCATAGCAGCGCAGTTTACAATAGCTAAGATCTGGAAACAGCCCATATGCCCATCAGATGAGTGGATAAAAAAGCTGTGGGACATTTACACCATGGAATACTACGCAGCTGTGAAAAAGAAGCATCTTTTATTTTTTGGGACAGCATGGAGGGACCTGGAGAATATTACGCTAAGTGAAAATAAGCCAGGCAGAGAAAGACAAATATCACATCATCTCACTCATATGTGGACTCTAATGAACAAAATAAACAGATGAACAAAACAGACCCAGAGACATAGAAGCATGGAACAGACTGAGGGATCTCAGTGGGAAGGTGGGGATGGGGGAGTGGGCAGGGAGAGACTAATCAAAGAACTTACATGCTTACATGCATAACCCATGGACACAGACATTGGTCTGGAGAAGGCCTGCGGGTAGGGCAGATCCGGGGTGGAGGGGATCAATAGGGGGAAAGGGGGACATCTGTAATACTTTCAACACTTTCAACAATAAAGATAAATTTAAAAGATAATAGAAACAAAAAAAGCAGTAATGTTTACAAACTAGCAAGACTAGGCATTTTTCCATATTTTGTTTCCTATTACCAGACTACTTAGGATTCTTTGTTCTATTTTAAAGATATTTTTATTGATTTTTAGAGAGGGAGAGGAAGAGAGAGAGGACCTCGACAGGCTGCCTCCTGCCCGCCCCCTACCAGGGATCCAGAATCCAGCCGGAAACCCAGGGCCCGTGTCCTGACCTGGAGTCCAGCTCACTGGGCCACAGCAGCAAGGGCCAGGGGCTTAGGGCTCTAGAGGGTGGTTCACTTCAGCCCATCAGCTTCAAGCTCTTGCCATCTTGTCTCTACCAATGATCTAAGTGCCAAGGCCGAGAACTTGTGTCTGTTCCGTTAAAGTTATGCTGCACCTGCTCCTTCCTACTTCCCTGTTTACGCTGCTATTCCTCCCCCTGTGACCAGATATACATCGAAGGTTTTATTTTTTAAATGTTTTTTCATTGGCTTTAGGAAGAGACCAAACATCGACTCCCCGGCCGCCTCCTGCGCGCCCCCTGCTGGTCCCAGCCCGCAGCTTCCGGCGCAGGGCCGCGCTCCGCCCGAGCAAACGCGCCCGGCTGCGCCTCAGGTGTCAGGTGGGTCCCCGAACCGCAGAGCCTTTTCCTTGGCTGTCCACTTCTTCCAGTGTCCGAGCTACCTGTGCCCCAATGTCCCACAAGCACCTCGAAACCGCTGCGATCGCATCCCCCAGCTCTCGGCATCACTCTGAACGTCCCCACCTCAAACCGAGGGCCAGGAGCCGGGCGCGGACTCGTCGCCCGCCGCCCCCGCCCGAGGCCTCGTCTCGCCCCGCGCCAAGCGCCACCCAGCGGCCACTCCGGCCCAGGGCCTCAACTGCACGCGACCCGCGTAAAATCTCAAAGCCCGTTTAAAAAGAGGAATGAGGACTGGGAACGGCACACAGGTCAGTGTGGAGACAGAAGCTCCCGGACGACCGTGGGGAACCACGCTTGGGTCGAGTCTGCGCTGGGAGGCCCTCGGGAGCCCGCCGCCGGTCCCGTCACCTGCTGCCGCGGCGGCGGTCATCCTCTGGAAGTAGGCGAACTCCTGCCTGCAGGGCGAGAGCGCGGCGTCACTCGGCGCCCCTCCCGCGGGCTCCAGTCCCGGCC